ACAGCGACTATACTCTTCTCAGCCGCTAGCAGGGACTCCTCAAGGAGGTCGACAGTGAGGGTGGTGGGACAGACAGAGAGAAACTGGTCCCTAACGACACGAAGGGACTCAGGAAGACGGGTGACGAGAAAGTAGAGAGTGATATACATGGGAGGAGGGTTTGCGGCACGGAACTCAGCAGGAAGGGCAGCGCGGTAGCGAGCGTCACTAGCGCGGAGGTGGGTAACGAGGTCAGCGACAGTGGGAAAGGAAGCGAGGTCAGGGAAGAGAAACGGTAGCATGAGGCGGCTAAGGGTAGCGGAGGAAGGGGAGGAGTAGCGTGCAACTACAGCGTCGTACAAGGCCTGAGCGGTCTTGCACTGACTAAAGTGGGCACGCTCAGAGGAAGGGAGGTGGCGACGCACAGCAAGACGTGCAGCAGCATCGCGGGTCGCCCACTTGGAGCGAACGGCAGAGTCAGCATCAGCAGGCGGGGCAGGGACAGCTCCAGAGACAAAGTCAAAGAGAGAGACCTCATCTATCGCATCACACAGTAAGTACAGCTGCAGGTCTTCAATCCAGACGGCAAAGTCAATGGCCCTCCCCTCAGCGTCAAAAGTAAGAACATTGGGGGTGGCCATGGCAGCAGCTGAAAGTCTCACCGGGCTGGAAGAGTCGGGTAGGTCAGCAGCAGAGGAACACAGCTCAGGGACAGCAGCACGGCTCCTCAAGTGGCTCGCGTGGCTCAGGCGGCTCGGGCGGCTCGGGCGGCTCGGGCGGCTCGGGCGGCTCGGGCGTCTCGCGCGGCTCGGGTGGCGTAGGGGCTCACGGGCGGCGCGGGCTGCTGGGGCTGCTCACGTGCAGCACGGCGGGCTGCAGCAGGGCCGGTGGTGGGCTGTAGTAGGGCCGGTGGCGGGCTGTAGCAGAGCCGGCGGCGGGCTGTAGCAGGGCCGGCGGCGGGCTGTAGCAGGGGCCGGTGGCGGCTGGAGCAGGGCCGGTGGTGGGCTGTAGCAGGGCCGGTGGCGGGCTGTAGCAGGGGCCGGTGGCGGCTGTAGCAGGGCCGGTGGCGGGCTGTAGCAGGGCCGGCGGCGGGCTGTAGTAGGGGCCGGTGGCGGCTGTAGCAGGGCCGGTGGCGGGCTGTAGTAGGGGCCGGTGCGGGCTGTAGTGGGGCCGACGAGGGGCCGAAGTGGGGCCTAGGCGGGCCGGCGGGCTGTAGGCGGGGCCGACGCGGCGGGCTGTAGCAGGGGCCGGTGGCGGGCCTAAGTGGGGCCAGCGCGGGGCCGACAGGGCGTAGGTGGGGCCGGCGCGGGGCCGAAGAGGGGCCTAAGCGGGGCCGACGGAGCCTACGCGGGGCCGACACGGGGCCGAGACGGGGCCTGGGCGGGGCCTACGCGGGGCCGACGAGGGGTACGCGGGGTCGACGAGGGGTACGCGGGGCCTACGCGGGGCCGACGAGGGGTACGCGGGGCCTACGCGGGGCCTACGTGGGGCCGACGAGGGGTACGCGGGGCCTACGCGGGGCCGACGAGGGGTACGCGGGGCCGACGAGGGGTACGCGGGGCCGACGAGGGGTACGTGGGGCCTACGCGGGGCCGACGAGGGGTACGCGGGGCCGACGAGGGGCCTAAGCACGGGCCGACGAGGGGCCTAAGCGGGGCCGACGAGGGGCCTAAGCGGGGGCCGACGAGGGGCCTAATCGGGAGCACGACGGGAGGGGCGACTCGGAGGGTCGCTAAAAAAATGCGCGCCTCGGGGCGCGCTTCGGTGGGCCCTAGGAACAGGCCCTAGGAAGGGACCTGCTCTGATTCCATGAGAAAGTACGAACGAGAAGTGAGATGACTATGAACAAAGTGAGTACAAATAGGAAACCCTAATTGGGTTGTACCCCCTATGGGATACCCCACTATAGCCTACAGAAACAAGTAAGCTATGAGTTCTGACATGCATACCCTCTGAGCATTCTTGCACGCTATGTTGCTCCTGAGAGACACCGACCAGAGCACATGGCTGCAGCGAAGAGGGTATTGCGCTACCTGTGCAGTACGTCGGGCATGGGGCTAGTGCTTGGAGGTCGGAGTCCAGTGGTCCTTACAGGTCACGCGGACGCTTCTTGGGCTGACGACCAGGCTACGCAGCGGTCGTCACAGGGTTACACCTTCAGCCTTGGTTCCGGCTCTGTCTCGTGGCGGGCTACTCGTTCGTCTTCGGTTCTCAGCTCCAGTTGTGAGGCTGAGATCTACGCAGGGGCCATGGCTGCACAGGAGCTTCGCTGGCTCACCTACCTGCTGACTGACCTTGGAGAGCCGCCTCGTTCTCCTCCAGTGCTGTACGTAGACAACAAGGCCATGCTGGCCTTGTGACGAGAGCAGCGTCTGGAGCACAGAACGAAGCACATTGCTCTTCGCTACTTCCTTGCTCGTGAGCTACAGCAGCGTGGACAGTTGCCGCTTGTGTACGTGGCCTCTGAGGCCAACACTGCTGATGTGTTCACCAAGGCACTTGCGTCTTGTGACCATCAGCGCTTCTGCACCCAGCTGGGTCTTGTGCCTGTCTTGCCTCACTTGCTCTCCTCTTGACTTTACTTGTACTGTGACATATATATACCTACTCTTGCTTGTCTAGCTTTATATATATGTCTGTACTCTTGCATGTGAACTGGCCTTTGGCCTTGCTCTTGTGCTCGGACTGTATGGTGACTTTGTGATCCACCCTGAGCTTTGCTTTGTCTTGCTTGACTGGTCTTGTGACCCCTTGTTCTCCCCCACTTTGCCTATGGGGGTGTGTCAGAACTTATATATAGCTTATACTATTGTGTAGGCTGTAGTGGGGTATCCCATAGGGGGTACAACCCAGTTAGGGTTTCCTATTTGTACTCACTTCATTCATAGTTCATTCATTCTCGTTCTATTCTCAACAGTCGTCGCGATAAAGGCCAGCCGGACTGCTGCAACCCCTCGCGCCCCCCGAACGACCGTGGCAACAGGTGACGATGGATTTCGTCACGAGGCTCCCAGCTGGCGCAAGTGGCAACGACTCGGTGCTAGTCATCGTCGATCGCCTAACGAAGATAACGCATTTCGCCCTTTGCCGAACGATGATCATAGCCGAAGATACAGCCAAACTGTTCATCTCCACCGTCGTACGCCTACACGGGTTACCTTCGGCGATCATCAGCGATCGTGATCCGAAATTTACGTCGAAGTTCTGGCAGGAAACGTGGGCACAGTACGGTACCTGCCTGCAGTTTTCGTCGTCATACCACCCGCAGACCGACGGACAGACGGAACGGACAAATCAGACCATGGAGCAGCTGATTCGCACCAACTGCCCCGACATTCGCAGGTGGGAAGATTCGTTGCCGATGCTGGAATTCGCGTACAACAACGCCCCATCGGCCACGACTAAACAATCACCCTTTTTCCTTAATTACGGGATAGACCCCGTGGTACCCTCTTCCACGACTGTGGACAACCCAGTACCAAGATCGCAGCAGTTTGTCACGGAACTACAAACCGCCCGAACGAAAGCAGCCGAGTTCATTCGCAAGGCTAATACCACGGCCAGTCGTCAGGCGGACAAACACCGACGGAATTTACCCTTCCGCCCGGGGCAGGTTGTACTTCTGGACACCAAGAACCTTCGGCTGCCGCAGCCCGCGAAATTACGGCCCCGCTACGTGGGACCTTTTCGGATCATCAAGATGGTGACACCTGTCACCGCGAAGCTGCTGCTGCCCGACGATTGGAAGATACATGACGCCTTCCACGTCAGCCTGTTGCGTCACTACGAACAGCCGCAGTCGCCAGCTGTGCTCGACCGATCCTCGCGCCGACCACTCGCCCCGTGGCAGAGCCCACGCTGGAACCCTGGAAAATTCTCAACCATCGCGTGGAAGTGACTGCTACCGGCCGCTCAGTGAAATTGCTGCTTCGCTGGAAAGACCGCACGAGCGAGGACGACACGTATGTCGCTGCTGACTCGCTTCTGGGACACCTGGTTTGGGACGCTTACCTCGCCCGCCAAGGTGTTTCGGATATTCACCACCTTTCTTAAAGGGGGGGGGGGGGGGGGGGGGGGGGGTAGTGTTAGGAATTTTCCAGATTCCTTACTGGGTCATACTGTACGCGTACAACTCCGACTTTCGGAAAACCAGGCTCGGCCCGCCGACCTCGCCTTCCGAGCCACCACCGCGTCGCTTTCGGGTTTTCCAACCCCGAACCTACACCCAACCATCCCGCGACCCCGCGACCTCGGCCTAGCTAACCTTGCTATATTATGCCTAGGCCTCGTTGTTCATTGAGACGTTGTAATCACTTCCGCACTATTGAGTTCTGCGCACTCTTTCCTTTCACAACTTATGACAGTAAAACAGATGAAGTTACAAATAACTCATATGTATTATATGTATTGGACTTCGCACATTATTGGTCTCTATGTATCATATGCATCATATTTATTATAACTCATATGTTTCATATGTTTCATATGTATTATATGTATTTGTTACATATGGGCTAGTTACAAATAACTCATATGGGCTAGTCACGTGGGCTAGTTACAAATAACTCATATGTATCATATGTATTATATGTATCTGTCTTCGCACATTATAAGGACAGAGACATACACCACTACAGAAACTTATGTTTCGAGAAGAAATGCTTCCCTTCTCGTTTGTGCTGCTACGATCTGGCAAACGTGTCGAGGTCTTAATCCACGTCAGTTTCGTCCTCTCACAGAACGTGCTCTGCCTTGCTGGACGCCAGCACATACACAGCGCATGCTCCGCTGTAAGATTCGCAGCAATGCCAACCAAACCATCATCCATCCCGTGGGGGAATGGCACGACTCTAGTGCACAGAGATTGGCGCCCCTCGAGGGGAAGCTAGCGCCCGGCTCTCGCCTATTTTTCGTCCCTCGCATGCATCATAAGGCTGCCACCAGACTCTCCTCGCCGTTGAATCCTGATTCTAACGCAGCCTCTACTCCAGTCGCCCGTTCTCCCAAGTCGCGGCATCACCATGTTCCCTATCGCCGCCTTTCGAGTAGGTTTCTTAGTGAGTTCTCCGTTGACCTGTGTTAATCTCTCCGTCATCCGCGTGTATTGCCGCATCCTTTCTCCATGGCCTTCTCCGCACACGTGTTATACCTCCCTTCTAGAGCTCCCCTTCCCTCTCATATAAGTTTTCTCTTGCCCTTTTCTGCTCTTCCCTCCCCTCGTCGCGAACCTGCAGCAAGCCGCGACGCCCGTCGCGATCACTGTAGGAGCCGCGTTAACCAGCTATTTCCTCGCTGACACCTTCGCAGGCGGTTCCGAGACTAGGTGAGTAAGAAAGGGCCGCCTTGCACTCGTCACGTACGCAGGATTCGTCTCAAAGTTCAAGTCACACTGTTTTTCGCGCTCGTCGCATTAAGAGGAATACAAGCTCGTAACTTTGCCCCGTATTTTCATTTCACACAAACTCCCTTTGCCGCCCCCCCCCCCCCCCTCCTCCCCCCCCACACCCACTTACCCCCAGGTCGCAAGGAAGCAACGTCGCGTCATCAATGAGCGGCTGGTCGGGGATGGAGTATCGTCGCATGCCGATCGCAGAGTACCTCAAGGTGCGTCGCATACCTTTCGCAGATGTCTCGCTGATGTGCGTCGTTTGGTTTGTACAAAGCGCGGCGTTTGAACGAGAATGGTAAGCACGAAACGCCCGAAATTGTAACTGACGGTCGTGATTGCGAGAGGCGTAGAGATCACAGCAGCCAATCCATCATGGTCGAGCCGCAGAGCATTATCTGAGAAGGTAATAGTTTTTCAACCCATCGCGTCCCTCCCTGCGCCCGTCACGGCCGCTCCGTTGCAGATTCTGAGCGGGTGGGAGGAGGTGAATGGAGTGGCGGACGACCGATCGCAGCGCGCCTTGCTCAAGCGACTCGCCGACGCGCCCTCCGCCACCGCCGTCTGAGCGCCCACGTTCCAGGCCGGCCCCCCGTCCATTCCACCGCCCCACCCCCTCCATTCCGCCGCCACTTCCCTTCCGCCGCCCATAACTTTTCCGCGGCGCGCGCTTCCGTTCCGCAACTGCCATCTCACGTGCGAAAATTCTTCCGTTGCGCGACGAAATATTCCCCGGGTTTGTACAGGCCTCGTGCGCGGGGAGCAGCGTTCTCCCCCGCGTAGCACGCTCGACCTTTGGATGGTCGCTGTAGATACGTCCTAATTCCTGAATCGCCCTAGTTGTTACATTGATGCTCTTAGCGTGTCGGAAGGATGACACTCCGCTGCGGGGTTGAGAAAGTGGTTGCCATATGGTTTTGTTTTGATTCATTATAGGCATTTGATTTGTCATGGTTGAGTGGAACTCGGGTGTTCTGAAGTCCAGGGAAAGTAGTTTATCAGAGGCAAACCGGCCTAATGTGCTTTTGTGAGGTGGCCATTACACCCCAAGTTGCACAAGGGTCTTTATGTGCTGGAATAGGTTGTGTGCTGTGGCCTCAGGGATCACGAAATATGCACCTTTATGTGTGCTGCACCTGAACATACCGTATTCAGGGATCACGAAATATGCACTAACCAAGGTACAACACAAAACAACCTTAGCTTGTGCATGCTATTATAACCCAGTTTCAGTCAGTAGCGTTAGACTTTTACGAGCATTACGGCGAGGTTGGTTGCAGTGAGACCCTGCCCTCGGGTCCAAAAGCCCACAGGTTTCTCTTTGACGGGCCCCAAGTCTTTCATGGAACCCATGTGCGAATGTGTGAGCACGGCTTGGAGGTCTGAATGTCTGGAGAAGGTCTGGAGGTCTGGAGAAGGTCTGGATGTCTGGAGAAGGTCTGGAGGTCTGGAGAAGGTCTGGAGGTCTGGAGAAGGTCTGGAGGTATGGAGAAGGTCTGGAGGTCTGGAGAAGGTCTGGAGGTCTGGAGAAGGTCTGGAGGTCTGGAGAAGGTCTGGAGGTCTGGAGAAGGTCTGGAGAAGGTCTGGAGGTCTGGAGAAGGTCTGGAGGTCTGGAGAAGGTCTGGAGGTATGGGAAACCTGGAAGGTTCAGAGGGACGATGACTATGTGGTGGGAGAGTATTGGTGATAGGATGTGCAGGACACATGTGTTGTTGTGGGCCTTGCCTTTAGAGGCGAGCCTTGTCTTTTGAGGTGCCTCAACCGCTGCATCACGTGTATGGCGAGGCTGGGCACTGCATGGAGGAGGTGCGGAGGGCAGAGGTGGGAAGCACAGGGAGGGCGGATGAGAGCAGAGAAGTGAGGGATGTTTTGGTGGCAATCAACCCACTCGTCTCTGCTTGTTGCCTTAGGGCCGCAATCGACTGGCATATCTGGCGTTGCTGTGCCACCACCCCTACCGTACCCCACCATGCCTCACCGCACACCACCCCACAGCACACTGTCTTTCCCTCAAGCCCAACTCACCCCTCCACTGGTGAAGTTGCATTGCGCTCGTTGTCTCAAGGCAGCAATGGAGCGCGCATAGGAAGCATCGGTGTGCCACCACCCCACGGTGCGCCAGCGGGGAGTGGGCTCGTCACACACGCCCTGCGCCGTGCCCGACCCCAGCTCCCTGTAGTGCAGCAGCTGCAGGTCGCTCGTGCTGACGTGTGCCATGCGTGAATACGTGGGGTGGGAGGGGATCGGGCCAAACACTACCATGCTGTCAACCTGGTTGCAGTGGGGAGGTGAGGGAAGGAGGGAGGGAGGAGGGGAGGGAAAGGGAGCAAAGGAGGGGGGAAAATGAGTCTCACCACACGCCCTGCTGTGTGCCCGACCCCAGCTCCCTGTAGTGCAGCAGCTGCAGGTCACTCGTGCTGAGATGCGCCATGCGTGGGTAGGTGGGGTGGGAGGGGATCGGGCCAAACACTCCCATGCTGTCAACCTGTGAGGGGACAGAGGGTGGGGAACTGAGAGAGGGGTGGAAAAAGGGGACTTACGCATTTGAGGAATAGTAGATAGAGCGGCTCATACATGGGGGGAGCAGCAGAGTCAAGGGGCGCGCACCCTTCCCCAGATTCAAGAATGCAAGATGAGGTTTGGTAACGCAGAGCAGGGGCAGCACTCACCCGCCAATGAACTTGTGGTTTCCCCGCTCCCCCTTCCAGGCATTTCCAATGGGCGTAGGGTGGGTGGGGTAGAGCAGAGCAGACAGAAAAAGGCACTCACTCTTCGCGGGTCAACAATAAATTTCCGGTGGCCCTGCTCCCCCGGGCACAGAGACGGGTCGAAAATCCTCTCGCCGTCCTTCTCATTGTCATGGCATGCCGGCTCCGGCCAGTGGAACACAAACCGCTCCACCTGCATCTCGCCCTCCCTCTCCCCCCCCCACTGCGACTCCTTGGGTACCTTCTTATCCCGCACCACCCCGCCTCTCCACAACCGCCCCCCCCCTGCGTCCACCCCTCCTGCTGTCGCCGTGTCTCCCCCTGCTGCCATGCCGGGTGCGCTGGGGTCGGGCAAGCCAAGCACTTCGATCTCGTGGTCGGCACGCGGGCGGCACAAGTGGATGGAGAACCACAACGAGCCGAACGTTATGCCAGCCACCGTGCTGCTGCTGCCACCCCTGCTGCCGCCCGTGCTGCTACTGCTGCTGCCGTCGCCCCAACCGCTAAGGCTCGTATCCCCCGCTGCTGCAACCACCCCACTATCCCTGCCGCTGCCGTCGCCGCCGGTTCTGCCAGCCAAACCAGAACCAGCAGTTACCGAGTTACCAGCATCATAGGTCTCTAACAGTATGTGCAAGGGCGGGAGCGGCCGGGGCTCAGTAACAGGCGGCAGCCAGAGGTAGTCATCCAAGTCAAGATAGAGCACCCAGCGCGCCGCCATGCGGGACCGATACAAGCAGTCGTGCAGCGCCGGCACCTGCCCGTGGTTCCACAGCTGCTCCCGCTCCAACAGCCCTGCCATCTCCACCAGCTCCGCCCTGCCTTGCCCTGCCTGGGCCGTGCCTTGGCCTGTCTCCACCCTGCCTTGCTCTGCCTGGGCGTGGATCACGGCCCGCACGGGGTCGGTGGCGCCCCCCGCGTTGTAGAGCAGGAAGGAGGTGATGCCGATGAGGCGGTGGTATGAGAGGAACTCGAGGAGGGCGCGCGGGGAGATGGATGGGCCGTGGAGCGGGGGGAGACAGAGGGTGAGGTGGGATGGGAAGGGCGGCGGAAAGGTGGTGGTGGTGGTGGGTGGTGATTTGTCGAAGAGGTGTTGCTCCCTGGTGTGTTATGGGGATGGGATGGGCGAGATGGTGGAAGGGATGATGCAATGGAGAGTCATTTTTGAGAAAGTTCGAGGGAGTGAGTGGTGGAAAATGGATGTGTGAGGTTGGTATCTGGTCTGGAGGTAGAGGAGAAGAGGTAGCTGAGACAGAGGTGGGGGAAGAGAAGGAAAGGAGAGGACGAGTGGAGGATGGGCAGAGAGGAGTGGGGTAGGCAAGGAGGCGAGATAATCGAGTAGAGACGGGAAAGAGAGGAGACAAACGAAGGAAAAAGACGAACCATCACACACCACACCACCGCCCACCACCGCACACCACCACGCACCTGATGAGGGGAACAGTCATGCCTCCCGCCATAACCGCTGCCACCCTGCCCCCCAACGGCAGCGCCCCCTCCCCCTCCCCCCGTTGCTTCTCCCCCTCCCCAGGCGCAGCAGGTGGGGCAAAGGAGCAGCGCAGCACCACTGTTTCCATGGGGGCCTCCGGGGGGTGTGAGGGGAATACCGTTGAGACGGCTCCTCTCACTGGGGCGAGGGGGGAACCATCTGGGGGCAGCCAGCTGCGGAGAGGGGGAACAGGGGGGGAGAATGGGGGGAGAATGGGGGGAGAATGGGGGAAGGGGAAACGAGTGGGAGGTTGAGGGAGTGGGGGAGAGTGGGGGAGAGCTATGGAAAGGAAGAGGGAACGAGTGTGATTGAGAGGGAGTGAATGCGAGGGAGTGAGTAGGAGTCAGGGGAACGAGAGTGGGGAGAGTGGGAGAGGAGGTGGCGGGGACATGGTAGAAGGAGAGGAGGTGGCGGGGACATGGTAGAAGGAGAGGAGGTGGCGGGGACATGGTAGAAGGAGAGGAGGTGGCGGGGACATGGTAGAAGGAGAGGAGGTGGCGGGGACATGGTAGAAGGAGAGGAGGTGGCGGGGACATGGTAGAAGGAGAGGAGGTGGCGGGGACATGGTAGAAGGAGAGGAGGTGGCGGGGACATGGTAGAAGGAGAGGAGGTGGCGGGGACATGGTAGAAGGAGAGGAGGTGGCGGGGACATGGTAGAAGGAGAGGAGGTGGCGGGGACATGGTAGAAGGAGAGGAGGTGGCGGGGACATGGTAGAAGGAGAGGAGGTGGCAGGGACATGGGAGAAGGAGAGGAGGTGGCGGGGACATGGTGGAAGGGGGCCACACACTGCAGTGAGGTGCCTTTTGAGTCGACTCAAAAGTCACCTCGAGGTGGCGCGGACACGGAGGAAGGGGGGTACACAATGCAGTGGCTGAGGGAGGGAGCGAGGCAGGGAGCACGAGAGGGAGCGAGGCAGGGAGCGAGGCAGGGAGCGAGGCAGGGAGCGAGGCAGGGAGCGAGGCAGGGAGCGCGATAGGGTGTGTGTGAGGGGGAGCGCGATAGGGTGTGTGTGAGGGGGAGCGCGATAGGGTGTGTGTGAGGGGGAGCGCGATAGGGTGTGTGTGAGGGGGAGCGCGATAGGGTGTGTGTGAGGGGGAGCGCGATAGGGTGTGTGTGAGGGGGAGCGCGATAGGGTGTGTGTGAGGGGGAGCGCGATAGGGTGTGTGTGAGGGGGAGCGCGATAGGGTGTGTGTGAGGGGGAGCACGATAGGGTGTGTGTGAGGGGGAGCGAAGGGGGGATTGAGGGGGAGAGAGAGGAGGCAAAAGAGGGGAGTGGGGAGGGGGGAGAAGGGGAAGGGAGGCTGGGGGCACGGCACGTACACGCAGTGGGAGAGGGGCTGGGAGAGGTGGCGTGCAGACAGAGGGGCCACGCCCACTGCTGCAAAGGCTGTTGGGGAGATGCGATGTGCACTGGCGAGTGGAGGAGGGTGGGAGAAGGGGGGAGGGAGGGGAGGGGGGTGGGAAGGGTAAGAAGGGGGTAGAAGGTGAAAGATGGAACTAGGCTGTTGGGGGAGTTGTGGTGTGCTGAGGGGCGGAGAGAGAGGGAGGAGGGTGGCTATACGTGTTCTGGTGAAATGGGATGGGATGGGATGGGATGGGATGGGAATGTGAATAACGGGTTGGGACGGGATGGGAAGGGAGTAATGGGGTGGGATGGGGTGGGCTGGGAGGGGAGGGAGGGATGAGACATGATGACATGAGGAGTGCAATGAGATTGGGAGCGGTGGAGCTCATCGGAGTGCTAGAGTATAGTTGAAACGAGTGAGAGGAGGCTGCTCTTGAGGGGCTTCACTAGGTGGTGATTAGAGTTAGAGTGGAATGGAGTGGAGAGGAGTGGAGCATACCTGAAGCGAACAAACTTGTAGCCTGATGGTGTAGAGTACTCTCGGAATGGTGTGTATTCTGAGATATGCCACCATTCACCCATGCACACATGCACCCATGCACCCATGCACATGTGCACATGCGCGCGCGCGCACACACACACACACACACACACACACACACACACACACACACACACACACGCGCCCACACACACACCCACACCCACACCCACGCACACCGCACATGAAGGGGAAAAGGCAAGTTATTTAAAAGAACAAGGGGAGAAGCAAAACAAAATACAACTACTGACCAACTCATCAAAATGCAAGCAACTTGTTTGTTCTTAGGTGACTCAAATGCTCCCACAAATCCCCACAGCCAAACCTATTCCTCCTCCTCCTCACCTTCGTCTCGTCCAATCAGCTCCAAGTCTTCACCCCGGGCCTCTCTAACCATGCCTCCCTCCTCCTTTACCCCTCTCTGCTCCTCCCCTCCCGCACCTCCATCCTGCTCCTGCTGCCCTTGTCCCCCTTCCTGGTGTCCCTGCCCCCCTTCCTCCTGCTGCTGCCGCTGTGACTCCTCCTCCCCACGACCCTCCTGCTCCTGCTCCTTCCCTTCCCCCTCCCCCTGCCCCTCCGCTTCCCCCTTCCCATGCTCCTCCCCTTCCTGCTGCTTCTGCTGCTGCTGCTGCTGCTGCTCCCCCCTTGTCCCCGCTGCTCTACCCTCAGTAGCAGCACTAGTGGTGCGGGAAGCAGTGGAAACAGTGGCAGTAGAGGCGGTGCTGGCATGGGAAGCGTGGGCAGCAGCAACCTCCTGTTGCAGCTGCTGCACGCGCGCCTTGAGCCCATCTATGATCGCCCGCTGCAGCCGTAACTGCGGGGAGCAAAAGAGAGGGGGAGAGAGAGGGGGGATAGGGGGAAAAAGGGGGTTGTGCATGGCAGTGGTGGTGCCGGTGGCACGGGCAGAAGCAACCTCCTGCTGCAAGAGATGGGCGAAAGGGAAAGGAGAGAGAGGGGAGATAAGGGGAAGTTGGGCGGTGGCAGCAGTGGTGACGGGGGCAGCACGGGCAGCAGCAACGTCCTGTTGCAGCTGCTGCACGCGCGCCTTAAGCCCATCTATGATCGCCCGCTGCAGCCGTAACTGCGGGGTGCGAGGGGGTCCCACAGGGATAGATGGGAGGAGGTAGGGGAAATTGGGGGGAAATGGGGTTAGATGGATGGAAAGGGGGAGAGGGAGGGGGGGGGAGTGGGTGGAAATGGTAGAGATGAGTGAAAAGGAGGACAGAGAGAGGGGGGAGGTGGGTGCGGAGGGGGGGACGATTGTGCAGCAGGCTTATAACGGAGCAGTAGGGAGGAGTCATGCTTGCACCCCATGCTCTGCACGCCTGCCACTCCATTCCATGCACTCAGCGCACCCCATTCCATTCCATGCACTCAGCGCACCCCATGCTCGCCTCTCAGCCCGCCATCCTCGACTCGACGCACTGCCTCAAGCTGAAGTTCCTGGCTTCTGACTGGTAACCCGGAAACCTGATAGTTTCTTGTGTAGAATATGCTCGTTCTCGGTTCTTCTCAGAAAAGGCGAAGCTGTCAAAACAATCTGCTGCATTGCTTCTCAGAAAAAGCTGCTCTCCTCAAGATGCCCCACCCACCTGGCGTCAACCTCGTATCGCATGTCTCGTCCCTCTTATGGCTCTCCTTGTTTCTCTCTATAGCAACAAAACTCCATGCCATCTCACAGCGCCCCCGGAACAACTCACTCAATGCCTCTTGCCCTGCATGCACACTACATGTATCGTTTCTACAAACAGAAAGCCTTCCCACCCACCCCCTCTCCTCTCCATGCCTCATGTCGCCCTTCCAACCGCACCCCACCCCTCTCCATTCCTCTTGCGGACTGGCATCGCCCCATCTCATCTCACCTGTCGGCCTGCCTGCCGCCCCATCTTCCCTGCTTGCGCCGCTATCTCCCCGGCCTCCACCACCAATTGCCTTCTCTCACCTTCCCCCGCTCCCCCTCCCCCACCCCCTCCCTCTCCCACTCCCCCTCCGCCTCCGCCTCCCCCTCCCCCTCCCGCTCCCCCTCCCCCCGCCCCCTCCCCCGCCCCCCAGCGCGCCAATCTCCCGCGCCACCACCTCCCGCTCGCGCCCGTCCGCCAGGCGCCCCAGCGCGCCCTCGAGCGCCTCCGTGCGCTTCAGCAGCGCGCCGAGCAGCTGCACCTGCTGCTGCGCGCGCTCCGCCAGCTCTGACACCGCGCCCGCCTGCGCGCGCACCTGCTGCGCCAGCTGCGCCTCGCTGCTCGCCAGGCTGGCGGAAGCGGGGACGCGGGGTGGGGGATGTGGGGAAGACAAGAGGGGAAGAGGGGAAAATGGGGAGAGAGGGAAGGGGGAGAGGGGAGGGCGAAAGCGAAGGGGGGGAGTGGAGGGAGAGAGGGGAGGGGAAGAGAGGAGGGCGTTAGGCGGGCAGGCGGATAGCAGGTGTGATATTGAGGTTGATTGTAGCTGGTTTTTTAGAATTCTAAAAAATCAGCTTGATTGTGTGGTGTGGTGTGGTGTGGTGTGCCAAGGGATAAAGAGAAGGTGCGAAGCGCGGAGGCACGGGTTACCTTGTAACAAAAGGCGCCACGTCATCCTTCTTAAAGTCCCTCATGTGTGACGTGTTCTGGTGGCGCCAAGGGGGGGGGGGGGGGGGGGGGCAGGTGGAATGCGGTAGAGGCAGGTGAAATGCGGTACAGGCAGAGGGACGAGTACGAGCGAGAGGCGTCACACACAGACGGGGAAGGGGACGAGGGGGATGGCGGGAAGGGGAAGGAGGGGGAAATGGGGGGATCGGGGGAAAGCGAGGGGGAAGAAAGGGCGAGACTGCGGAGACTGAGAGCTTGACAACGGAAGGGTTTGGGTGTGCGGGGAGGGGTTTAAGTGCGCGCTCCTTCCCCTTCCACTCGTCGCTATCCCTTACCCCTACCTACCACTCCAACTCCCCCCACAACCCCCCTTCCCTTCCCTGACTTCTTCCACCCAACATACTCCCCCTGCTCTACCCTCTCACCCCTCCCCCCAATGACCCTTTCCCAATCACAGCCTTTCCCCCACCCTCTTCCCAGCCCCAATTTTCCCCCCATTACCCCCCCCCCCCCTTCCCCCTTCCCCCTTCCCCCTCCCCCCCAGTCGCACCAGGAGGCTGATGAGCGCAACCACCATCAGCCCCGCAACCCACATCTTCCGACTCCCCTTCAGCGGGTCTCCGCCTCCCCACAACCCGCTTGCGCCTCCGCCCCCGGCCCCCCCTCCGCGCCGCATCAGCGCCCCGCCCATTGTCCCTGCCCCGCTTCCCCCAGCCGCTCCGCCTCCGCTAATTCCCCCGCCGCTCGCTCCGCCGCACCAGGCGGTGAGCGCATCAACGGCGTCGATCGCGCACTCCAGCGTTCGTCTCTGCACCGCCTTCGCCGCCGCGATTGCCGCTACGGCAATTGCTGATGCCTCCCGAAGCACTGGCGGCGTTGGTGCTGCGGCAAGGCCTGCGGCGCGAGTTCCCCTATCACGCGACTCGAGTCCGCCATTCATCATTATCGCCGCAGGGGCGTGGCTCGTCGGCAATTCCTGGGTTTCGTACTCCCCTTTAATGCCGTTCATTCCGTTGACTCCGTTGACATCGATAAACGCGGCGCCGTTCGCGGTGGGTTCGGGCGACGCGGCTCGGCCGTCGAAGATGGGCGCTGAAAGGTTCGGCGAGCTGCGACTCGAAGCTGCGAGGGCGGAGAAGAAGAAGGAGGAGGAGGAGGAGGAGGCGGCGAGGTCAGATGCGAGAGTAGCGGGATTCGCGGACGAGGCGAGCCTATCGCGAGGCGGAGAGGAATCTCCCGGTGACAAGAGCTGGGTAGAATTCACAAATCTGCCGCTTGAAGCGAGGTCGTTACTATTGCTGCTGCCGCTGCCAGGCGGCCTGAGCCTCTCGCGAAGGTCCCTCTCTCCCGACATGCTCCACGCCGTTAATTGCGGCGACGAAGTCTGCGGTTGAATTACGGTGTCCTAACTCGCTGAAATAATGTCCGCGCGGAATATCTCAACGGAAAGGGGGTCGACGGTCCCTGGCGATGTTCCGCGCGGAATGCGGCGATGAGTCCGAAAACTCGTGATGAAACGATGGGGTTGGTTGGAAGATCAACGCGCTTCAAGGACAAGCGTTGAGCGGAGCCTCGAAACCAAATGGCAGAAATTCGTAAAATTCAGTACAGAGCGCGAGTCGATGCACCAAGTTAGGGTGCGTGTGTGGCTTTCCCGTCCATCCATCCAAAACTCCCCCCCACCCGCACCCCGCCCCACCTCGCACTGTGCACAAGGTTACGCGGCGCACCCCACCATCTCTCTCCTCCGCACGCAGGCCCAGCTCTCCGCCCGCCCTCCGACATCGCCTCCCCCACTCGGCCACTAGCGCGTGAACTCGATTCCCTTCATCTCGACTTGGCTTGTCAAGGACGCGAAGACGACAAGCCTCACATCAGGCCGAGAGCCGAGACTCGGGAGACTCGCGGTCACTTGTCTCCCGTTTGGTCCATGTCAGGGACGCTCCGCCAATCACGTTGCGAACTTGCGTGCTTGTCGAAAACACCACTCTATCCACCGTGGACCCTTGGCGGTATGCGCAGCGAGGTATTAAGCCGCATTCCGAGCTTGTAAGACCCTGTTATGAGGGCAGGCCGACACCTTTAAAACTCTCAAAAGCCACCCCCGGGGTCGTGAACAAGAGAGGTCGCTCAGTGTCGGCTGGAGTCGTTTAACCGGTCGTAATTGCCAAGCTCTTGTTCACGACATCCCGGAATGCGCCTCAGATTCAGTACACGTCTTTGTGTCACCGTTACAGCTGTCTGTCTCGATGTGGAAACCTTGGGTCTTCCGCGTTGCATCCTTACAATTTTCAGGTGGTGGTCGGTGTTGATAGTTTCGCATCTAGGGCTTGCTGACATGGTAATGTACTAAACCTTTGACGCTTATCGCAAAGTATTATCTTTGACTCGATTTATTGGTACAGTGTTTTGGCTGAATGATTGCTCGTGGGCAGGCTCCGGGATGCTGTACAGCAGAGTTCTGTCCTTTTCATGGCTTGAAGCATTCGCATGACGTTGCAGCTTCAGATCAGACTGCTGGACCACAGACGAGGGGGCACTGATCATGCACCTTTGAAGCCCTCTCCTTTCTTTCACAATGGAATAATATCTACATTTTAGTGGGTCAGTATCAAAATCATGTACAAATATGCAATGTTGATGCAGGTCGATTCATGTCTAGGTACGGGTGCATTTACGATAAGAAGCATTGTCTCCTCGTTGGCGCTAGATATTGCAGAGGGACAAACCAGTGGTATTGCTTCTTCTACGCAATTGCTGCACAAACAAAAAATTGCTTGCCACTCAAAGGCATCTTCTGTGCCACGCCACATAATGGATTGGGGGTTCCATCTTTGTCATATGGGGTATGAAAAGATTATTTTTACATCAACCCTACATGAAATTACCGATTGTAAATGTAAGGCTCTGACATGGCGCAGAATCGCATATCACCGCACTATAATACATTTCTGAGTAAATCACACCCCTTCATAACGCCTCGCAGCCTGAGCTTCGATGACACGAATCTGGACAAAAACGAAATCCAGGTACCACAGTCTCCATTCCCGATTCCCCAATCCCTAGGCTCCTCTTGTCTTGACAGGACTCGTCGTCTGTTGTTGCTTCATGGCGTTCCGTCGCGCGTATTCAGGCCGCGCCAACGCAGAGTACGGCGCGCAATGCAAAGCAACCAGCTCAGCGAAGTTGATGCGGCACCTCACGTTGCTGCTGGAAAATCTTGAAGCTCCATTCGGGAAGCGGTCATTTCATTCGTTCCTGTGTCTGTCTCCACAGAGGATAAGACTTTTACTTAGGCGGCCTGGACCTTATTGAATCTTGCCGGCACGATGGTGCTTACGAGAGCACTTGATTCGCGGCTGGCCTGGACTGGTCACCGGTCCGCTTCTCAGGGTGGGGAAGCGCATCCATTAGGCTGTTTTATTGGAGCGCGACGGTTTGTGCGATTTGGGAAAGTCAATCGGGCGTCGCTCACATGCGCGGAGTACTCAGCCGACCCAAGGGTCAGCAAGGATAAGGTGAGGAATCTGTGCTCCCTACAGCTATCGATCCTTGTGTTTGCGGCATTCAATCAGGGAGGACCTCCCTGTCTATCGTTTTCGTCAGTCCCAATTCTCGGCAGGTCTTGATTGTTTTGTTTATACATGTTTTTCCATCATCATGTTTCACCTTGTTAATTCACCAAGTGATAATTCTGTCTTCTCAATTCCTCCCCGCGCAGTCAGAAGATCCACATGCCTTCAGCACGGACGCAGCGTCGTTTTTGAAGGAGCACATGCGGGATGAGCGGACCACGCGGGAGCACCGACAGCCCGTGACGGCCGACCGCCTGCCAGATATGATCGCGCCGTATCATATCCACAGATGCGGCCACCTGGCTGGCCTAGGCTTGGATGTCCCCCTCTCGCCGTGGGAAGCAGACCTGCTGCACGCTTCATCTGGCGCCGCTGGCTCGAGTGCGACACTGACGAGGGAGATTGTCAAAACTGGTGATAATCACGAAACCGAGATTGTCTCTGAGGGCGGAGGGCTTGGTCTGTCGGCAGCCTACCTGCTTGCCTCCCCGCCCGCGTGGGACGAAGGGGAGTGTGAGCAGTACCTATCCCAAGAGCTGGGTGAAGAGAAGGAGCTTTCGGAAAGAGAAGAGGCCATGAAGACTGCGAAAGCCCAGACTGGGTCAGCTCGGGGAGGTTCGGAGCACGGGGAAAGTGGACCTCCGGAGGAAGCTTCCTCAAAGGCTATGGATGAGTACAGGCGGCGTGCTGTGGTGATGTGGGCGGTGGGTGAAGCGACGGTGAATGAGGTGGTGGAGGGCTGCTCGGCCGAAGGGGGTGGTGGGAAGGAGGAGGTTTACAGGGAGGGTGATGGAGAAAACATCAGTGAAAGGGGGAATGTTGGGCATGCTTGGCAGCTGAGGTGGTGGCCCCATAAGCACACTAGACCTCTGGAACAAAGGCATGGGTCGCAATTTGACAAGCATTTGTAGGAAAAAGTGCAAATGTACGTGTTAGTATACATCTGGGTTACTTTGACTCTTGTTATTGCTGTACAATTACTCTTGAGTTAGTGCCAAGGTGAGCTGCTTGTAGAAAGCAGGATTGTGTCTTGTATCAAGTATATCAGAGGCAGCAAATGATGTACGATGATCCAAGGTAATGAGGTAGGATGAAACTTTGTGATGGGATGTCAGGGCGCATAATAGCCTGAGAAATTCATAGCCTGGTCCTGATAGCGTTGTCCCTTTCAGCCGAAATTCCTCTCGTCTTTGGTGTCAAATGTTGTAGCCTGTAGTGAGGTTTGTCTTAGGGGGTACAGAAGTTAGGGTTTGTCATATGTACCCCAACTAACATCAATGCAACACTCATTCCTCATTCTGACATGGTATCAGCTAGGTTAGGATCCTGTGGGATCCCGTTCCTCCGTTCTCCGTTCGTACCTCCCGAGCCTGATCCTACCTCTCGTTCGTACCAGTTTCGTAGTTACCGCGCCTAGTACCGAGCCTAGCGTCATCTCCCCCGTCGCGTCACGCCTGTTCCCCCCCCGTCGCGTCACGCCCGTTCCCCCTGTCGCGTCGCGCCCGTTCCCCCCCGTCGCGTCGCGCCCGTTCCCCCCGTCGCGTCGCGCCTGCCTGTTACCCCCCCCCGTCCCGTCGCCCTGTCCCGTCACGTCGCCCTGTCCCGTCGCCCTGTCCCGTCGCCCTGTCCCGTCACATCGCCCTGTCCCGTCGCCCTGTCCCGTCGCCCTGTCCCGTCGCCCTGTCCCGTCGCGTCGCCCTGTCCCGTCGCGTCGCCCTGCCCTGTCCCGTCGCGTCGCCCTGCCCTGTCCCGTCGCCCTGTCCCGTCGCGTCGCCCTACCCCGTCGCGTCGCCCTGCCCTGTCCCGTCGCCCTGCTCCGTCGCGCCGCCCTGCCCCGTCGCGTCGCCCTGTCCCGTCGCGTCGCCCTGCCCCGTCGCGTCGCCCTGACCTTTCCCCCGTCGCGTCGCCCTCCCTAGGCCCTGGCCTGTCGCCCTTCCTAGGCCCTGGCCCGTCGCCCTACCCTAGGCCCTGGCCCGTTGCCCTACCCTACGTCTTGGCCCGTCGTCCTAGCCCACTCTTCCGCTGCGACTGAGTCCTCTTCCCCCCCCGGTTGTTACTCGCCTGTTCGTTCTCACTATGGCGACTCCGCGAGTTCTTCGTTTCGACGCCGACGGTAGACCCCTTGACTTTTCCGTCTGGCTTCTTCGCGCTCGTCGTCTGTTAGAGAGTCAGGTCCAGGGGGGCGAGACCCTCTGGTCACACGCTACTGGTGACCTCCCCGAGCCCCCCGAGCCTACAGCTTTAGGCCCTGCTCCTGACGATGCTGCTACGGCTCGCTTTGCCCGTCAGCGCGCTGACCGGACGGCTTGGACGTCGCGTGACGCTGCGGCCTGCATCGCACTCAGCAGCCTCCTCCCTGAGTCCG